CGAGCTACGCTTGGAAAATCGCTATATAGGACCGACTTTAAAAAAAACATTTTGCAATATTCACTCTTAATCTTAATTATTCTTTCAATCAAAAATATGCTTCGACTTTCAGTAAGGCTCATGAGACGTAAAAAAATCAACAAATCATAGGCTGAATTAAAAGTAGGTCAGACTATAGTACTTATATTAGTCGAATGAATTGACAGGAACGCAAACAAATAATAAACATGACTTTAAAATTGTCATCTAGTTGAGGTTGAATTAAAAACAAAATGTCAGACAACAAAATTTGTATCTAAAGAATGAATTGTTTAAAAACACAAACGACTATAAACCAATGTTTACATTTTCGAATAGTATATTTTGAAATTCTAACAAATATTATACATTTTATTAATATTACAATGATCTGTTAATGTTGATAGCAGTTTGAGAATCATTATGACAAAGCTTGAATTCATACAAAAAAGTAAACGCATCTCTTTTTTTTTTTTTTTTCATCATGTTCATGATGACGGATACATTTTAAGTTGAATTCTGAAAGAGATAGATATAAAATTAACAAAGAGGACACTTTAATCATTACAAATGAGTAATATATTTTTGTGCATCTATTATATATTATATATTATATTATATTATATATATATATATATATATATATATATATATATATATATATATATATATATTATAATGATTAAATGTAGTCAGACCACTGGACAGTCACCATAGTCTTGCATTAGTACAATTTTTGTAATCCAAGCTGAGAGGTGTATAATGATTTAAATTTATATTCTGAAATTGATTGATAGAAAACTAACAAAAAGGACACTTTAATCATTAGGAATGAGTAAGGTATTTTTTATGTAACTATCATAATAATATAGAGGGTCCCCGACTTACGTCGGAGATCAGTTCCTACGACACAACGTAACTCACCTACATAAGCAGCCACGTGTCTGCCTTACACTTGGGAGCCATAATGAAAGGAAAAAAGTAAAGGAAAAAAAAAAAAAAAAAAAACGACACAAACGTGAGATAATGAATGTAGCACAATCCAACATGGCGTATATTCGGTGACGAAACAACGCCATCTTCCTCGTAAGTGACAACGTATTATTTTATGGAAGATGGCGCCGTAACCACGAAACGCCGTACGTCGGATCCAACTTAACCCTAAGAAATTCTGTATATTAAAAAATGATTAAAGGGTTTATTCTAAAATCGGCGATCATTTTTCGAACAGCCTAAAACTATTTTCCAGTGTTTACACAGGGTGCCTCACATATTTAAGAACTAAATTCTTAAATTTATTGATATAAAATTAAGTTAGAGAACACTTTAATCATTACGAATGAGTAATATATTTTTATGCAACTATTACAATATATTAGAACAACCAAAAGGTTTATTATAAAATCGAACATTATTTTCAGAACAAGTTAATACTATTTTCCAGTGTTTACAGTGTCCGTCACGTATTTGTGAACAACATTCTGAAATTGATTGATATAAAATTTACAATGAGGACACCTTAATCGCCATTAATTATTGTTCTAGCGAGACAAGCTTGCTAACCGTTATACCACCTCGGGGTGCCCAAGTGGTTAAGATGTATGTGCTCTTTCGAATATAAATTAATGATCAACTATTACGTCATTAGTGACGTGCCGATAAAATTAGATAATGAAGCAATGAAATATAGGTATGTCTGTCGTATCCTGAGGCACTCCCATATGTTTAAAAATAATGAAAGAAAAGGCTTAACCAGCGTTGTTGCAAGATTGGTTCAGGATATAAAGAGGCCTCAAAAGCGCTCGAGTACTCCTCGTTAAACAACTGACCTTGTAAATAGCCAAGCGCCCCGCGGTCAAATGCTATATAGTATCTGCCTATGGCCATGACCACCGAAGACAAGCTTTGTGCCGATCCCCACGCAAATGGAGGCTGGATAAAGATTGGCCAATATTTTGATCAATGTCCCGAGTGTACGCTCGGGTACACCACGTTAAATAACTGCCCTAGTGTTGTATTTCATTTCGGTGGTGAGACATGGGTAAATGCCCACGCGATCCGCAGTCCAGAGACAACTGACCTTGGGGCGCATACCGTTCCAGTATGGGAGGGGGTAGTGTTGCTCTGGGTAAATACCCACATGCTCCGTGGTCCAGAGTCTATGATCATATTGTAGTATCTGTTCTGCGGTCGTGACCTGCTAAGTCAAGCTTTGTACCCTATACCGTGCAAGTGGTGGCTGGGTAGAAATTGACCAATATTTTGACCAATGACCCGAGTGTACGCGCTCGGGTTCCCTGAGTTTCTCTCGCATTCCTCAACATATTGGGGAGGTCTGGGTAAATACCCACGCGCATCGTGGTTATATGCTATGGTCATATTGTTGTATCTGTTCTGCAGCCCTGACCAGCTAAGACAAGCTTTGTGTCCGATCCCGCACAAGCGATGGATGGGTAAAATTTGACCAATTACCCGAGTGTACACGCTCGAGTATCCCACATAAAACAACTGACCCTGTGTCGCATCCCACCCCAGTGAAGGGGTTCTGGGTAAATACCCACAATTGCCGCGGTCAGTTGCTATGATCATATGGTAGTATCTGTTCCTTGCAGGCTGGGTAAAAATTAACCAATATTTCGTCCACTTTACGTGTTCGGGTACCCCACATTAAACAACTGACCTTGTGTCGCATCCCATCTCGGTGGTGTGACATAGGTAAATGTCTACGCGGTGCAGAGACTATGCTCATATTGTAGGTGGTATGTCTGTGGATAAATACCTACACGCAGTGGGGTCTAGGGGCTATGATTATATTGTAGTATCTGTCCCGCGGCCATGACCAACTAAGTCAAGCTTTGTGTCCGATACCGCGCAAGCGGTGGCTGGATAAAAATTGACCAATATTTTGTTCACTGACTCGTGGGTACACGCTCGGGTACCCCACGTTAAACAACTAACCTTGTGTCTGATCCCGTCTCGGTGAGGACACATGGGTAAATACTCACGCGCTCCGCGGTCCAAAGACTAGAGTCATATTGTAGTATCTGTTCCATGGCCATGATCAGCTAAGACAATATTTGTGCTCGATCACAGGCAAGTAATTTTTTTACATTGGTAAAAATTGACCAATATTTTGTTCACTGACCCGAGTGTACGCTCGGGTACACCACGTTAAATAACTGCCCTAGTGTCGCATTTCATTTCGGTGGTGAGACATGGGTAAATGCCCACGCGATCCGCAGTCCAGAGACAACTGACCTTGGGTCGCATACCGTTCCAGTATGGGAGGGGGTAGTGTTGCTCTGGGTAAATACCCACATGCTCCGTGGTCCAGAGTCTATGATCATATTGTAGTATCTGTTCTGCGGTCGTGACCTGCTAAGTCAAGCTTTGTACCCTATACCGCGCAAGTGGTGGCTGGGTAGAAATTGACCAATATTTTGACCAATGACCCGAGTGTACGCTCAGGTTCCTATGTCTAATAACTGCCCTTATGGCGCATCTCGCCCCAGTGGGTGGGCTCTGGGAAAAATACCGACGCGTTCCACTGCCCAGATGACTAGGATCAAAGTGTAGTATCTGTTCCAGTAGCATCCGGCAAACATCCCAGGGCTGCGGCCGACAGCAGACCATCAGCAGCAGTTCCAGCTAGCCAGCCATTATTATTTCCAGAAGGCCTCCAGCACCAGCTTGCTCCAACTGCCTTCCTAATCCGACCATCCTTCCCAAGCGTATGTAATAAGCCACCCTTCTCAGGACACCGCTATTCTTAATGTCTGCATGAGGTTGCTGGGTTATTTTTTTTTTGCCAAGTGCACTTTACAATTATTTTTATTTTCTGTAACAAAAATAAACTTTGCAATAATTTGTATTTTCGTCATTCCAATATCTGTTTGCGGGTCAATATATCATCCGTGAAAGAGGCACGTAAAAGAGTAGTGGATAGCGGCTCGGATTGAGGAATCGGAGAGCCGAGTTCGAACTCCAGTCGAATCCATTGCATTCACTTACGTGCTAATATCCTTGGGAAAGGTATGAATCCTCTTCTTCTCCCCCAAGCAATGGGTAAGTAGCAGGACAGACCGGGTTCAATAGCGGTTCGAATTGATGAATCGGAGAGCCGTGTTCGAATTCCAGTCGAATCCATTACATTCACTTATGTGCTAATACCCTTGGGAAAGGTATGAATCCTCTTCTTCTCCTTCCAGCTATAGCAGAAAGACTGGGTTCTATAGCGTTGGATGGCAACTGGTCTAGGAGAAGGACAACTCTGAATTCAAAAACTGCGGAGGATTGTTTAGGGATCTTGTGACATGTGCACCAGAAAGTGTTGTTGGTTCTGCACAAAGCCTTCACCGCTATAATTAAATCATTGTGCTGGTGTCTGGCTGTCGGTTCCGAAGAACTAAGTTCATACGTCGAATACGACGAGAGAGAACGCCATATCACCCGCAACATGCCTTTGAATATCACCCTTTGACATTTCCAGATGATTGCCGAATGATATCAAACTGTAGATGTGAGCCGAGGTTGTTCGTAATGCATTTCAGTAATTGAGACACCGATGTGTGTGACAAGCCATGTTCTGGGCGGACCTGCACATCTGCCAACTCACAAAAAGAAGAACACCCCGAAAGTACATAGATAATGTCGGTGATTATGTAAAAAGAGATTCTTCTTTTATCTAATGGTGTCACTATGCACCCTGTATTTGTTGGAAATTCTGTGGAAATGAATAGGAGGTATTAGCTTCGGGGTACACCTCGTCCGTCTCTTGTGCATTTTGCAAGTAAACAATGAATAGTTTCCCACTTTAGCGACATAAAAAGAAATATCGGCCATTTTCATTTAAAAGGATGAGTTTTTTTTTTTATTCAATTCTTGTCAGTTTGTTGATCATGGTACCAAGAAGTGTGAGACTTAGGTCATCAGGTTGCAAAAATGTTGACTCATGTTGTCATGATGGGTTATTTTTAGTTGATTTAAATTGTATAAAGGTTAAGAGGCTTTGAGATGGGTGGCGCTATGGAGAGAGAGAGACAGACAGACAGAGAGAGAAAGAATTCTAGATGTAAAGACAACAGTTTGGAATTACAGGATCTATTGATAAAGTACTTAAAATGATGCTTAGTCAGAGAATGAATGAAACAGAATCTTTCAAAATGAGCGAAAGAATAAATGAAACCGTGAGAATTTTGGAAAATTGGTGAAAGAAAGAAAGAAAGAAAGAAGGAAAGAAAGAAAGAAAGAAAGAAATCGAGATATTTTTTTTTAATTAGGGAAAAAGAAAGAATAAAAAAGTCTGAGATAATTTTTTAAAAAACAGTGAAAAAGTAAGAAAAAACTGATTTTTTTTAAATTAGGGAAAAAGAAAGAAACAGAGAATTTTTTAAAAATTTGACACAAAAAGAGAAAAAAAGAAAAAGACAGAAAGAATTATTTTTAAATTACTGAAAAAGAAAGAAAGAAAGAAAGAAAGAAAGAAAGAAAGTGACTGAAATACTTTTTTTTTAATTAGGGAAAAAGAAAGAAAAATGAAAGAAAGTGACTGAGAGAATTTTTTAAAAATTACTGAAAAAGAAAGAAAGGAAGAAAGAAAGAAAGAAAAAAAGAAAGAAAGAAAGAAGGAAAGAGACCGAAATATTTTTTTAGATTAGGGAAAAAGAAAGAAAAATGAAAGAAAGAGACTGAGAGAATTTTTTTAAATTACTGAAAAAGAAAGAAAGAAAGAAAGAGACTGAAATATTTTTTTAAATTACTGAAAAAGAAAGAAAAAGACTGAAATATTTTTTTAATTAGGGAAAAAGAAAGAGACTGAGAGAATTTGTTAGTGGAAAAACAAATAAAGAACAAAAAATGAATGAATGAAATCTACATAATTTTTCAAAAATCTTGTGAAAGAAAGGAAGAATGAATAACAGGAAATAAAGAATTTTTTTTTGCAAAGATTTGAATAGAAAAAAATGAAACTGATAATTTTTTTGAAAATTACTGAAAGCAACAAAAGCAAAATGGCTGAAAGCTAGAGAACTTTTCGAAATTTAGGAAAGAAAGTAACAATGTGGATATTTTTCTAAAAATTGATGAAGAAATAGAAAAGCTAGATACATTTTATGCAAAGATTGGGATAGATAGATAGATAGATAGATAGATAGATAGATAGATAGATAGATAGATAATGACGGAGATATATATGAAGAGACTGAAATAGATATGAAGATAGTTAGATAGATAGATAATGACTGAAATATATATATGAAAAGACTGAAATAGATAGGAAGAGACTGAGATAGATAGATAGATAGATAGATAGATAGATAGATAGATAGATAGATAGATATGAAGAGATAGATAGATAGATAGATAGATAGATAGATAGATAGATATGAAGAGATAGATAGATAGATAGATAGAAACGCCGCGCCGATGTCTCCTAAAAAACAGAACACAAAAGCCAATCTAAGTAAGTATATTTATTCGAAATGACGTTTTTCTTTTTCTTTTATTTTGTTTTAATTTGATGACATTTTCCCATGCAAAGAAGGATCAAGTGTTTCTTTCCGACTTTTTCTTCTTGGAAAAAAAGCTCTTTGAAGCTAACCCTGAAACCCTGGGTCGGAAACGATCACTTGTCTTTCAGAATAGTGTCGTCTTCGGTCACTCGTATTCCTGTCCACCCAACAGTCGTGAAATAAATAAAATAAAAACAATATTTCAATTTTATGGCGTGTCATATTCCTGTTGCTCGGAAACACTCACTTCAGTTGGGGAAATGTCTTTTCTTTTATGAAAGCAAAATACAAAGAAGAAAGGTCGAGATGCAAACAGAGATAACAATGTAAAAAGAAGCAAAAATAGAAAGATGGAAATCTCTTCCTTCCTTCCTTCCTTCCTTCCTTCCTTCCTTCCTTCCTTCCTTCCTTCCTTCCTTAATTCTCGTCTGTCCACTCTCTCCTCTCTCTCTCTCGCGCTCTCTCTCTCTCTCTATCTATCTATCTATCTGTCTACCTCAATG